CAGGCCCAAGTATACGTATACATAACTACAGCCTCATGCCCAAATACACGTGTTCAACATTCACGAATTTAAAATCAGGAACTGAGAATCATACTGCAGTACATGATACTGAAATAATGAGCCATACCGGGTTACATGATACTGGAATAATGAATACGATTACACTGAGATGAGTATTCATAAGAAATTGATTTGTCATAACTGAAACTCATAGAATATCGAATGATTATGACACTATGCCATCTAGAGAATAGAAGTTCTACTATATTCAGGGAACTAAGGCATAGTTACTTTCTGAGGAAACTGGTAATGGTCATAATGAATGGGACGTAGGGATAATCATATACATTCCCAAACGTAAAGAGTTAGCCTTACATACCTTAACTTCCTACTCTTGAGCGTAATGCAACGTTTGTCAGCCCTTTCAACTTTAATCTATAGCAATACAAGTCAAAGGGATTCCATATTAGCTATGGTGCTCATGTTTTGGTCACTTAGGCATTTTATCAAATACTTGGTGAAAATAAAGCTTCATAGTCCTTATTAATGGTGTCTCTACACCCAACAACTAATTCTCTTGTTCCTAGATAAATTCTAAAGTCTCAAATGATTATAATCAACATTATTCTCCATCACTCATAAGGTAAACAACACCCTTATCCAATAATCAACACTCAACACCCCAACCTATAATCGTTCATGCTTTTCTATCAACCCATCAACTCATATCTCATGAACTAGAGTTTATAATCATTAAACCATTTCTAAAATCAATTAGAGGGTGAAGACATTACCTTTTTGAAGTTCAAACCCTTTGAATTCGAGTTCTAGACTTTCTTCTCTCAACAATGATGTCCCAATCGAATATCTAATGAGATGGAGGGTTTACCCATGTTAATAAGATGTTAAAAATTTGAAATTAAGTTAGAATCACCATTAGAACTTATCTTGGGTGGTGGAGGAACCCTTAAGGAGTTAGGTTTTTGAGAGCTTTACTTTCTAGAGCAAGTTTTCTTGTTTTGGGGCTGTGGGGGACAAAATAGGGCTAAATAATGACTTCCCAAATCGTCCACCGCATCCCGGTTGGCGTGACTGCGGTACCGACCGTGGTAAATCGCTGGGACACTGCCTCACCACCACAGTCGCGGTAAAAACGCGGCAGGACCGCGGTGGTTGCACACTATTCTGTAAAATGGGCATAACATTTTGCACAGAGCTCCGTTTGGGCTCCACAATATATCGTTGGAAAGCTATTTCAAAGGCCTACAATTTTCATGCTTTGAGTTTTTCCCAAGTTCTTACACACTTTCACTAAACCCTGCTAGAAGACAGACCTTCTGCAAAACTTTGTCGATTTTGTCAAATCTTATGCACCTCACTTTCCATCTTGATTTTGAAACAACTATTTTCACCCATAATCATCCTGATGGGACTTCACATGTTCAAAATATATCCTTACTACCCCTTTAGTTCATTCATACCTTAGCCGAATTTACAGGGTGTTACATTATCTCCCCCTTGGAATCATTCGTCCTCGAATGATGGTCCTGGTTGCAACTACGGCTATCTATGGACATTAAACGAGTGTGATGGAGATATGAGGATACTGAAATATTATGAATACATGTATATCAAACTGAATGAGCATGTGATCACTAAATACTATGCTGAGTAAATACTAAAGGACATGGAGATTATAATATAAGTCCTGAATGAAAAGGTTAATTACCTTCTACATTTTCCTTTTGCTTTTCAAAGAGATGGGGATATCTGGACTTCATGTCCTCCTCAGCTTCCCACGTAGCCTCTTCAACCTTTTGGTTCCTCCAAAGAACTTTTATTGAAGCAATTTCTTTAGTTCTAAGCTTGCGAATTTGACGATCAAGAATAGCCAGTGGAATTTCTTCGTCAGACATGTTGTCTTTAACCCCTATAACCTCTGGAGGAACCACAAGTGACGGGTCTCCCATGAATTTCTTCAACATGGACACATGAAATACTGGGTGTACAACAGCTAGTTCTTATGGAAATTTTAACTCATAAGCCACCTGTCCGATCCTTCGGAGGATTCTATATGGACCAATATAGCGGGACTAAGTTTCCCTTTTTTCCCAAATCTCATAATGTCTTTCATGGGCGATACCAGAAACACCCAATCATCAACTTGGAACTCTAAGTCTCTATGTCGTACGTCCGAATAGGACTTTTGGCGACTTTGATCCGTCTTCAAATGCCTTTGTATCAAGTTGACTTTCTCCGTAGCCTGATAGACCAAATCAGGTCCTAACATCTCCGCTTCTCTGACTTCGAACCAACCAATTAGTGATCTACACCTTCGCCTATACAGAGCTTCATACAGTGCCATCTTGATACTAGAGTGATAGTTGTTATTACAAGCAAACTCAATGAGAGGTATATGATTATCCTAATTACCTTTAAAATCAATAACACATGCCCTCAACATATCCTCAAGAGTCTGAATGGTGCGTTTCACCTGGCCATCTATCTAAGGATGAAAGGCGGTGCTGAGGTTCACCCTTGTGCCCAATCCCTTCTGAAAGGATTTCCAAAAGTTTGCTGTGAACTGGGCACCACGATCTGAGATAATGGACAAAGGAGTCCTATGCAATTGGACAATTTCTTTGATATACAACTTGGCATATTTCTCGGCCGAATCTGTAGTCTTCACTAGCAAGAAGTGAGCTGATTGGTAAGTCGGTCTACAATCACCCAACTCGAATCATGCTTCTAGAACGAGTGAGGTAGACCTGTTATGAAGTCCATGTTTATCATCTCCTATTTCCAAATGGGAATTTCTATATTCTGAGTTAAAGC